ATATATGTATATATTCAAGCTTCCGTATAATATGATTCCTGCCAGCCCTCCTAAGTTATAAATATTCCAGTCTTTGGCTTCATCATCTTCAGGGAAAATTACTTTGAAAGCTTATCTTTTGCAAATCAGTGTTGGTAACTTTAATGTTCTCTAGTTATCAACATGTGTCATTAAAGTGTTTGTAATATGAATTTAGCCACAGATGTTAAGTATACAGAGTTGTTGAAGGTTAATTAAACTGTTTTAAATGCTGGAAAATGAATGATTAGCATCACTTATCTTATGAAAAGCTTCTTTTTGCCAATTGGCTACAATGTTGACCCGACAAACACATTTGACTTAAACGTAAATAAGTGCAGATAGTTTGTGGTTTGGTGTTAGCTGATAATATACACCTCATTTCACTATAAATAAGGAGCCCATTCTCCAAAAATCAGCCAAGCTTCTTTGGTAATAGGTTGTGTAAATCTCCAATCATGAAGATTTTCATCTTTGTGCTAGCATGTCTGCAGCTCTCTCATGGGCTTGTCAGGTAAGTGCCGCTGAAACTGTTTTGTGCAAGAGATACCTTTTTCAAATGTCCATACCTAAAGTGAATTCAGCATCATACTGTGATCTCTAGATCTGTAAGATATATAAGAACCCTACAAATAATATGTAACTGTAATTAGTGAACTACTATATTTTTTAAAACCATCTTATGTTACTTCATGTGACAATAGTGGGATTAACTAAAAGTTGTAGCCCTTTGTAGCCCATCAGTAACACTGATTAATTTTAGATGCTATAAGCTTGTATTAGCTACTGCAGCTTTTATGACTGTTATAAAGTATATTTTTAGCCATAACTGGAGTGGGGAATGGGTGAAATCTCTTATCAGGTTTTTACTTAATTTTTACTCTATCCTGGTGACATAAAGTGATGGGAAAGCAAAGCTTTTACAGTTGATGCTGGAGATGAGAGCAAATCTTCCAATGGGTACACCTGTTCTAGTGACAATCCTCTTAGAGTAGTCGTTTTGGAGAAATGTCTAATTATTTCCTTTTTTCTCTCTGGGACAGGGAAGGCAATCTCCCCAATGGGACCCAGACAATAAAAACAAATAATGTGACAGGAGTTTAAAAAATTCCCTATTTGATCTAAAACTAGGAAAAAGGTTTTGGCTATAGATGCACTTTAATATCAGAAGTGGAAAATGGCTATGAATTATTCTTGGAATTCGTTAAATGGAGATCCCTTGCTTAGAATTGCCTAAGAATATGAATGTATTAAGAATCTCTACACACTTTAAATGGAAAATATGGTCAGTATGTAGATGTGTAAATCTGGCTCACCTTAGTCAAGTAGAACTCCAGAACAAGCCATCGGACTGAACTCTTTCACCCTGGTCCCTCTGGCATGTAAGATATCTGGGGTTGACACCTAGTGAAGGTGGACTGTGGTACAGGCAGATGGGGCCCAGGAGGTTTCCTAAAACAGAACTCTAGACTGGGCACAGAGAAGAATGACATTTGATACTACTTGCAGCCCCCTTCCCAGGCTGCATGATCTGTTAGTGGTTGCCTGCATACAATACATTTAGTATTATCATGAACATATAACTTTGCATAGTCACATTTTCTGAACATTTATATATTTGAACAATAAAAAAATAATTAAAATTAAAATCAAATCTTTCTGCTGCGTGCTGGTCTCAGAAAGAAAAAAACCCTGTAGTGTTGACCTCCAACAATTTGCTATAGAAGGGTGTTCTATCAGACCTACCTAAGCAGACCATGTTTCAATATTATTTAGAGTGCATCTAGATGCAAAGTCAGCATTTATCTAAATAGCAAATTGATAGAAAGTTACATTTAATTATGGATGAGCTAGAGAAAAAAGAAATAGAATTCTAGCTATACAATCTTTAAATCCCATAATATAATATAAATTATTGTGTTAAGAATCTCAACTCCTTTAGTAAATGCCTCGGTGCCTTCTTTCTAGGATTGTATGTAATTTGTAGAAGCGAAATAACCCCCCCCTTTTTTTTTTTCAAAAGTGCTAATAAAAATATATTGTTTTTGCTTGGAAAAAAATCACTCAATCAATAAAAAAGACACTTCCACTTCTCTATTTTAATCAAATAATTACTCCCATTCTTCAATTTCCTTATTAATTAGAAATAATTAGTCCCTATTTTCTATATATCATTTCCTGATCAAATTCTTGATCAAAAACATTCCAAAGTTCATTTTGATAATTTTATGAAAATATTCTTAATTTACAGGGTTTCTCTAAGTAAGGGGAAGTCCATCCGACAGAATATGAGGGAAGCTGGAGTGCTGGACAAGTATTTGGAAACCCATAAAATTGATCTGTCTGACAAGTACAGGGGATATGCTGTTGCTACTGAGTCTATGTATTTTGATGTAAGTTTCCCAAAAAGTTCACATCTGATATTCATTTTAGGAACTGTTCTTGAATTATTTGGCCAAGGTTGTATTTCTCCACCTGCATATATTCAACAGCATCAAGTCACAGCACTTACAATTTGTCTTACCATTTCACTATTTTTACCTCGCCTTTTCATTTTGGACACTAATAAGTTAATCCATCTGCAGAACTGAAAGAGGCAGAATACAGAGCAGTGAATAGGAGTTACAAGATTCTTCAGAGCTCAGCATGGAGCCATCATTTCTTATGTTGGCTGTTAACTGATGAGTTGCACTGTGTATAAAGAGGCTTTACATTAAACTGACAACATACTGCCTCCATTAAAGCATTTTTGTTTAATTTCCACAATAAGGATCACTTGATACATTTGGTTTTATACACGTGAAAAGTGCACTCTACCCAAAAGAGCATTGTGATTTACATGACGCTAGAACAATATGGCATCTAATGGTGGCCTACAGTTTGTATAACATATTCTATTCTTGCAACAGAAGCTATGCTGAATTTAATTACACCTACACATTATACCAAATATCACATCTTAAGAATATAATAACAAGACTACATTGTACTAATATACCTGCATATTTCCCATGCTAATTACTGCTAAATCTAGTGTATATTTAAAGTGACAGTAAACTCAGGCGTTAAATCCTAAAAATCCTAAAAAGTACCTTTAACTATTAACAAAAATGTACCTTATTTGTATATCACTCAGCTGTAGATCCTCAAATCATCTCTGAATTCATGCTGACACTGTCCTTCCTTCTGGAGGGTGGCTACTTTTGTTTCCCCATGGTCCCCGAGTGTGTTGTAAAGTATCCACGGCTCCAAGCTCATTCCCGTGATGGACTGCAATCTCAATACAAATTAGTAAACTAAATATGTGATTGAAGTCCATTACAGGAGGGAGCTTGGAGCAGTGACTACTTTACAACACACAGAGACCATGGGGAACAAAAGTAGCCACCCTCCAGAAGGAAGGACTTTGTCAGCACCAATTCAGAGATGATTTGAGGATCTACAGCTGAATGATACACAAATAAGCTACACTTTTATTAATAGTTGGGATACTTGAATGCATTTTTACGATTTAGTTCCTGAGTTTGGTGTCACTTTAAGTTAGGTAATAAGTATCCTTAAACTGTCAGCTTTAGTTTAACTGTTTAATGTACAATTTCAATATTGTCCTGATTACATTAATGTAGGCAATTGAATTAGTGTACCATGTATCTTTGCTCTGCAGACTTATTACTATGGACCAATAAGTATTGGAACACCACCTCAAAATTTTCTGGTTCTTTTTGATACTGGATCCTCCAACCTCTGGGTTCCATCAACCTACTGTCAGAGTACAGCCTGCAGTAAGTAATCTAGTGTTCTAGTCATTCTCTATTCAGTGGGTGCTATTTAGCTATACTACCTTAAACGAATACATTTTATATTTTTTAATGAATATATACATGGACTAAGCTTGTTTTTATGTTTCACTTGTGTTTTCCTTTAATTTGGGACTCCAAGTTCCTCCAGGATCTCAAGTGTTGGTTTTCTACAGTTTTTTCATAGATATAACTAGCTATAACTTCATAGATATTACTAGTTTTCAGCGATCTTCCAGAGCCAGTGGTTTCCTGGGAACTGAAAATGTATTTTATTTCTCTACCTAAGAAGAAGTTCAGCAATAGCTCTGTATTATTAAGCGTTTTACTAGTTATTATTAGTTTACAAGTGATTCCTCTATAAAGAATTAGAATCACCAATGTGGCTATGGCTAGGATGAACCATACATAGTATACACGGTTTAATTTGTCTTATTGCTGTCTCACGTTGGACTTGTACTTAGGTCGTTCAGCAGTCCTGCTATGAATTTTGCTGTTTGAGTTTGACAACTGAAAAGCATTGATGATTTTAAGAAATATTATAAGTAGATGATTGATTGGAACATGTTTATGATAATGTTGTATTTTTTCAGCAAACCATCATACATTTAACCCAAGCCAGTCCTCCACCTACTCTTCCAATGGACAGCGGTTCAACATGGGTTATGGTGGTGGGAATGTTGCCAGCAGTGTTACTGGAGTGTTTGGCTCTGATACAGTTTATGTAAGTAACATATCATATATATGCCTTTCTGTCTATCTATCTATCTATCTATCTATCTATCTATCTATCTATCTATCTATCTATCTGCACCCTCGTTGTTCCACCTTGTGGTACAGAATCTCAAGAGTGGCTTGGATCTGATGTACCAAACCAACAAGAAATAGTACAGTTCATAACAAGGCAGAGGTCAGGGCTGATATTTAATGTAAGTCAAAGGCAAAATGACAGGGAAGGTAGCAGACAAATAGGCTAAAAACAATAACCAAAATACATGCCAAAATTGTAACAAGGGAATTAAATTTATGAAGCAAAAACCTTTTGATGAAATGCAGTTCAAACTTTCATCAGAAGAGTTACCTCCATATTTACCTTGGCTATACTCAAGCCTAGTTGATATGAGCACTTCCTGTCAGTCATACTATTCAGGAATAATTAGGGACAGGAATAAAGTATCTCTCACACAAAAGATAGAAAAACTACAATACCTCTTTTTATGTAAATATGGACCTTTAAATACTCTTGAATAACACTTCACATAATTTAATGTGGTACCACCAAACAAAACACTACAATTGAAAACTAAATACATATAGTAGGAATACTTTTTTTTAACATGCTGTGTTAATATAATATGTTCTTTTTATGACAGTCCATTCTTTTAGCTAACACAGTGGGATGCTTTTCAAGGTGAAATGGGATGACATTGAACAGTAACTAATAAAAATTGAGATTCTAGTATACTATTGGTATTCCCCATTATACCTTTTCTCTTTAGTTTTATAACTAGCTCTCACACACTTTCTCATATCTGACAGTAGTAACTATCTTTCTAAATTCACACACCTCTCCATTGACTGGGACCATTTTTTCCATCAATGACCCTACCACAGCTAGATTATGAAAAGCAGAACAGGTTAGTGTTATGATATTGTCATGTTGCTCACACATTAGAAGCTTCCGTGTATTGTTGATGTGGATTTGTGGATTCAACAGGCTACTCTAGTACATAGGGGTACATGTCTACATATACAGAAAATATGTAAATAGGCATCTAGTTGGCTGGTAGTAGCAAGAAGGAATGGTAAAGAGCAGTGATGTACCTAGTGTATTGCAAACCTGGGTGTAATTATTTCTTTAACATCCCCTCCTCATCAAAGTTGTTTTCAGTAATAATCATGAAATTTAGAAAATACTAATAATGGTCAGGATAAAAAGGATATTGAGTATATTCATGCCAAAAAAATTATAAAATTCCAGGTTTATATAAATGGGAATCTTCACAATCCACGGGCTACAAACATGCTATCATTTAGGATATGTAGCCAGAAAATGGGCAATATATAGACAACACATAAGCAACAGTGATAATATGTGAGTAAATGACAACAACAATGATAACAGTGACAAATACATTTACAGTGAGAGGTAACCAGCATGTATGCAACGTAAAGAACATTCTTCCTTCCATTGACCACAAATTTTAAGGATATTTTTTACATTGGTGGTCAGTGGGTAAGTGCAGAGGGACATATAACTATCATTGGTGACAGTACTCATCTGCGAACAACAGAAGGCTCCTCCACCCACTGCACCAGCACATCTGATTCCTGAGAATGATACCAGTGCTGCAACTATACAGGCACTGTTGGGTGGGATATCAATTTTGCCAAGCAGTGGCTGCACACCCATAGTACCCTGTAGCAGGCTGTGGGGTGCACTAACTGTTCCCCCCTGGTTATGGCACTGGCAGAGAAGGACCCATGCTGTCCGCACTCCCTGGAGTTCCTTTAGCGTACCTCTCTGTCAGTTTAAGCTACTCTATGTAATTGGACTTGTACCTGTATTATACTGTACACGTCCTATTTACCCTAGTGGGGATGTAATATACCAATGATGTAATGTAACAATTTAATGGCATTGTTTTTCCCTAGATTCAAGGACTTACCATCCCAAATCAAGAATTTGGACTGACCATTACAGAACCCAGTGGTAATTTCTACTATTCCCCATTTGATGGTATATTGGGATTGGCTTATCCTGGTCTGTCTGTGGGTGGTGCCACCACTGTAATGCAAGGAATACTGCAGGATAATCTCCTGAATCAGCCTATTTTCAGTGTCTACCTTGGCAGGTATGATGTATTAGTATATTATATATGTGTATGTGTAGATTTGTATTGTATGTATATATGTATGTATTGTATATGCATGTATTGAAACTTTACAAAAAAATGCCCTCTTTTTTGTTTGCAAATAATGCCATAACCCTGTAGTACAAACTTAGTTTTTGGATCATAATAAAGGGAACAAATTAGAGTAAAATTTGCTCTTTGTGTTACAGCTATACAAGCTATATTTTTACATTTTTGCTTTTAATAATTTTGAAAAGCAAATTTTCTGGCCAATGCTACCAAAAGAAAACCTTGTTTATCTGCACAAAATACACAGTTTTACTTAAGTATTGTAACTGATGACAAAGTTAGTTATGAATACACAGGAAGAAAGTGAATATGTAAACAACTGCTCCAGTCCATGTGGACTAGATAGGTAAAGATGTTGAAGTGGTTAATACTAGCATTATCAGCTTGTTAACATATTGCTTTTATATTTTTTCATATTATACCCTACTGTTCTTACTTTTCTTTCTTCTGCAGCCAATCAGGTGAGGTTATTTTTGGAGGCGTGGATTCCAGCCTTTACAATGGCCAGATCTCCTGGGCACCACTGTCTAATGCGCTGTACTGGCAGGTTGCTCTTCAAGAGTGAGTTTTCCATTTAATTTTACTTTACCTACTTATTACCTCTGCTGTTTACCAGCTTTAGGGTCTATGTTGATGGGTTTTGTTCACTTTAAATGGGTGAACTGTAGGTCAAATACACCTGCCATCACATTGTTGTCAGTTTTTGGTGTGTTTTCATGTCCACTAGCAAAAGTGTGCCTGTGAGAATGTAACAACTGCTAAAGGGAGGAATATATGCTAGAGAATAATGTGAATAGTATGACAGCAGGCAGTATGTGCAGAAGACGAATGCAGAGCCTATGATAGTGTGCTGTATGTGCAGAAGCTGTGACAGCTGTCAGTATGTGCAGGAGAGGAGTGCAGAGGGTATGACAGCGGGCAGTATGTGCAGGAGAGGAGTGCCGAGGGTATGACAGTGGTAAGTATGTGCAGTAGAGGAGTGCCAAGGGTATGACAGTGGGCAGCATGTGCAGGAGGGGCGTGCAGAGGATATGCAGCAGGCATTATGTGCGGGAGAAGCTCGCAGAGGGTATGACAGGGAGGTTTGTACAGAAGGAAAGTGTGAAGGGTATTACAGTGGGCAGGATGTGAAGAAGAGGAGTGCAGGGGTTTGACTGGAAAAGTTATGTGCAGAAGAGAAGTACAGAGGGTACGACATTGAGTATGTGCATGAAAGGAGTGTGCTGGGTATGATGGGGAAATATGTGTAGGGGACGAGTAGGAGGGTATGACAACCAGCAGGGGAGGAGTGGGAGGGTGTGACAACAAGCAGAACAATTGATCTTTTGACTCATAAATGGTGGTTACTGTCCTTTCAATAAGTAGCAACAAAATCATTAAATTATAAAGTCATAGACATACATTCAAATGACATGAGCGGGGAAGCTTCCCATAATATATTTAGGCACCCACTAATAATAAAGCAGCCTCATGAGAGCCATGCTCCTGCTCTACATAACTACTGACACACTCCTCGCCTCCTCTACTGAGGTGATCTGCAGACTGTCAAAGTGGTGGAGGGGACCCAGAATGAAACAAAAAAGTGTAGAATTGAGGACAATGTAAGTTGGAAAGCAGACATCCATATTTAAGCAACATATTAGCATGCACTGTGTCCTGGAGTGCAGGAACAGGGGAGGTGTTGGACACATGGGAGGACATGGACATCGTTCAGTAACCAGTTTGTGTGGCGGGAGTGTGTGACTACAGACTGAGGAGTCTCGGGAGGAAAAATTGTGTGCTGGAGGGATACAGGGGAAAAACAAAAGTGCGTGTGCTGCTGGTGGTATCAGACAGGGGAAAGAACAATCTGTGTGCTGGAGTTGTGAAGTCACTGGGGCAAGGAAGAGGAAGAATCCCCCAGTGGCAAATTAAAACTGTTACTTGGGCATTATATTATTAAGGATAATTTGTTCTTACTGAAATAGTATTTTTTTCACAGATTCTCCATCAATGGACAAGCTACTGGCTGGTGTAGCAATGGCTGTGAGGCCATTGTAGATACTGGAACCACCCAGCTGAATATCCCAGCTCCATACATGCAACAGCTGCTTCCATACCTTGGCATTCAGAGTCAGAATGGAGGAGTAAGAATATATTTACAGTACCAATAAGCCTTGTTGGTAAAATAAAAGATAAAATAAGCAATTGATATTTTAATAATTACACAAATGGGTATTTTCTGCTATTGTCCTAATCCTAGGTTCAGTGAAAGCATTGATAGTAAAATTATATTTTGATCTTCCCATTTCAAGAAATTTAGCTTATATGTTATAAAATGAATTGCACTCTGATTAATCAGTTGGTTTGGCTAAGCTTTTTTTCTTAACTTGGCCTTACATTGGGGATTGATTTACTAAAGCAATATAGGCTGTTTACTTTGTGTCTGTTTTTTTCTTTTTTTAGTATAATGTAAACTGCAACAACCTTCAGAGTATGCCTACTCTTAGCTTCACCATCAATGGTGTTTCCTTCCCATTGTCTCCATCAGCTTATATTATTCAGGTATGTATTATATTTCAGATATAACATTTGCGTATGTAGTGCAGGACAGCACTTATGTGCAACTACACAATTAAAACAAAAAATGTGTATTTATGGCATTACCTCTTGATGAGGTCTCGGTAAGAGTTCCTGGATTTATCAGGCCTCTCCCGATACATCAAAAATGTATTGTAATTATGACTGTGACATAGAAACAGGAGGCTTGCAACAGTCGCAGCCTAATGGGAACAGAAGGCCTATACTTCAACCCACCTTTGCTAGAAAAGTATGATTTTCGTCCAATGCCCTCCTCCCCACAATCAAATAACCTAAAGAAGTTTTGTAGCACCTTCTCTCCTTTCACCTCCTTAGCATTATTGACAGGAAATTTGCAAAAAAAGTATTTTTTTTTAACACACATGTTAAAATGAGCATTTTAGGCCTGAACATTACTTAACATTATTCATTTGCTAAAAGCAGAGCACCTGTAGAATAATTTAATGTGGTAACTTTATTTTAAATATTAGACTCTTCAGAGTAAATAGATACCAATGTTATCAAGCCTTAAAACTGCGTGTAAAAGATGGTAGTTGCACATTTTTATGCCACACAATATTCGTGCAACTGTTTTTTAAACCTATATTTTCAGTAAAAAAATTACACTAAAACTAACTTTTGTGGACACGAACAAAATATTGTTTTTTTGCAAAATGTAAAAGATGTCACTGTTTTGAGTAAACAGATACCAAATATTTCAAGCCTTAAAAATTTAATGTGATATTCAGAAGCGATGAAAGATTACAACACTCAAAACTGTAAATATGTGACCGTTTAGAAACCTTTACATATTATTAGTTTGGAGTTAACCATAAATAATGTCCCTATAATTATTCCTCTAACTCCTACTACAATACCCCACATGCGCTATATATAATTGCCATTTTCTCACACACGTGCATCCTGGATGTACGCATATTTACATATATTTGCATGGAGGTGGGGCTGTGGGTCCCTTCAATTTTATTTTATTCAACTTTAATTTTGAATTACTTTTTTTTGTTACTTAACTCTTTGTGATCGCTTAGTGTATAGGTGATAGGTTCTTTAAATTCTATTACACCCCTAAAGTCTCTCCTACACTGCATCCTAACAAATCGAGTACAATCATTATTCAATTGGTTTATATCTCTGATCACCAGAGGCCAGAATTTGACAGCTGGGAACCTGAAAGTGTTCAGTGCTCTGCTCTTTATACTTATGGGTTCACACGAAAGAAGGAGGACTGGTGAATGGAAGTTTGTTGATCCTTCTTCTACTCAGCTATCTTGAACATCGCTCTGCATCTTGTGATTCTGGCAGTAACCCTGAGCGAATTCAATGTAAAAATGGTTAACCTCATGTGTTAGCCATTTTAACATGTAATTTCTAGCCTGAGTGATACTCAGGATTAACACCACATGGTTTAAAAGGGTAGAATATTCTCAACAAAACTTTTACAACATTGCATGTATGCCTATGGTCAGGGACGTAGCCAGCAGTATAGGCACCATCAAAGTTCATTCAGATTTTTCAAGACTATTGCTACTTCCGTAACCAAAAATAATTGCAAGAGAAGTAGCTGGTTAGGTTCATGTGAGTTTCAAAATGATGCAGGAGGCAAACATATATAAGAGGTGGATATCTGTGGTGAAAAGTGGGCTCACATGGTAAATTTTTTTACCTTTTTTTGAGCTATAGTTAAAACTCTGGGAAAGAGGGCACCATATCATTGTTGCTTTTAGTGACGTACTAATACCAATTAATGGGCAGGTCTATTGGCAGTTGCTTGAGCGATATAACAGCTTTATGGGTCAACAGGTCTTTGTGGGCCCTGTAGTATATCTGACAGGTATCTGGTGGCTTGGAAACTCACACCTTATGTCACACTATATAAGAGAGGAATGTAAATGGATAGGTGCACAATTTTCTTAGATACTCAAAATTAAAACACAAGTATTTGTTTATATTCTTAATGCTGATGTTTGGTATATAACACATGACTACATATGGCTGTTAATCTTTCTAGGAGAATGGATATTGCTATGCCAACTTCCTTAGCATCAGCTTGCCAGCTCAGAATGGAGACCCACTCTGGATTCTGGGAGATGTTTTCCTGAGGGAATATTATTCCGTTTACGACTTTGGAAACAACCAGATTGGCTTTGCTACAGTGGCATAGGTTGTGATAGGAGCGTGAGATGGTGTGAAACGGCAAATGACATCAGAACACTTGGAAAGATGCAGAGCAGCCTGTCAGATTGCATGTTACTTTGCAAAATTCTTGTCATTTATATTTATCTAAGCTGTTTCTGAAAATAAACTGGCTATACAATTAATTGTGTTTTCCTTCATGAATTCTATTATTAATGACAGAAAATAAGAAAATGACAGGAAAGAAAAAAATGGTTTCTCTTTTATTATGTTTGTCAAATTTTCCAAACTGTTCAGCATGCATATTGCTAGTAGATGCAAAGTTCAGCACAGTTTACTAAACATGCCTTGCAATCAAGAAACTACTCTGAAATCACAATTACTGAGGTTAAATATATATAAAAAAGAAACAGTAACAGTTTGAACCTCCAAGTACTACAGTTTGAACCTCATCTTTGCTATTTGCACTGCTAATACAATAGGCCATTTGTGCAAAAGGCATGAACAGAAGCCACCTGAGATTAGTGTCACTTAGCATTTTTGCAGATTGCACTGGACCGGAACACAGGCACTAACGTGTCTGCGGTACAGGTGCGGGCAATTGTACTGCAGGCCATTGACTTCAATGCACCACCACACCCCCTCCCGCCCCTGAAAGCGTTCCAGTGCTTTCCAGAGGCCGAACGCTCCGGAACGAAGACTTTGTGGTGTGAACCGGCCTTTAGGTTACCTATAAATGGATAAATCTATGAGGAAATCTAAGTCCTAGTTGATGGTGGACATTAGTGAGGTCAAGACAAGACAAAGTTAATGTTTTAGTTTATCATACAGATTCTGTCATCCACTCCTTCCCTGCAACAATTACTTCCTCATGATTTACCTTTATACATACCTATATTCTGAAATAATTTTTTTTTTTTAAACCTACTATGTAGGAAAAGGAGGGGCATTTGTGGTAAGCAAGCAACATATATAAAAGCATTTACATTTTTTATTTTTTTCACATAAACATTGGTACCTTTTGAAAAATTACCCCATTTTGGGTAAATTTTTAAGCAATCTCCTGATATCACATTTAAAGAGCTCCATCTCAAACGGTTTTACTGGTACATAGGAATTGTGAAACAGATAACAACAATGACATGTAACCAGTGTAAATATACACTCAAAGGCCACTTTATTGCTAGTACCAGGTTGGACCCCCTTTTGGGATGCACATGGCCAGCAACAATACTCAAGTAGGCTGTGGCATTTAAAAGATGACCATTTGGTACTAAGAGGCTGAAAGTGTGCCAATAAAATATCGCCCACACCATTACACCACTACCACTTGCCTGAACTGTTTATACAAGACAGGAAGGCTCCATGCTTTCATGCTGTTTACGCCAAGTTCTGACCCGATCATTTGAATGTAGCAGCAGAAATTGAGACTCATCAGACCAGGCAACGTTTTTCCAATCTTCTATTGTACAATTTTTATGAACTCTTGCTAATTGTAGCCTCAGTTGCCTGTTCTTAGCTGATAGAAGTGGTATATGGTGTGGTCTTCTGCTGCTGTAGCCCATCTGCTTTAAGGGTCGATGTGTTGTGCATTCAGAGATGCTCTTCTGCATACCTTGGTTGTAATGAGTGGTTATTTGAGCTACTGTTGCCTTTCTATCAGCTTGAACCAGTCTGGCCATTCTTCTCTGACTCCGGACATCAACAAGGCATTTTCACCCAGAGAACTGCCACTCACTGGATGTTTTCTCTTTTTAAGACCATTTTCTGCAAACCCTAGAGATGGTTGTGTGTGAAAATCCCAGTAGATCAGCAGTTTCTAAAATACTCAGACCAGCCAGTATAGCACCAACAATCATGCCACTTTCATAGTCCCTTTTCTTCCCCATTCTGATGTTCAGTTTGAACTTCAGCAGATTATCTTGACCTTGTCTACATGCCCAGTGGCGTCGCTACAGGAGGGCAAGGGGGGGCAATTGCCCCCCTCCTAGGTTTTCACTTGCCCCCCCGCCAGGGATCGGCAAGGTGTCCGTGACTGGTCCTTGCAGGGTCCGCCGCTTTCGTACGGAACAGTTGGTACGTCCCAACGTAGCAGAGCTTTCACAGCGGGAGGCTGAGTGCCAGAGCCTGATGGCTGTTCGTGGCTGTGTGTAGTGAAGTCAAGTCACTGCACTGGTAAGCCTGCAATGATCTGGAGCTGGGGGGGGGGGAAGGGAACAGCAGCAGCAGCTGAGTGAGATGTGTCTAGGGCTGGCTGGGGGGATAGCAGCAGTTGAGGCTTGGTGTCTGGCCTGGGGCTGGGGGGACAGCACTGCAGCTTAGTTTATATGATAGAAAAAGGAAAGAAAAAAAGATGGGTTTTTTTGGCCACCTAATGACAAATCCAAAGCAATTTAGCAGTAAAAAAGTATTTTTAATCTTAGTAATATTTTAAAAGATTGATTCACATACATTACAAGTAATAAAAACAACCAGCTGATCAGATGTCTCCTTGTACGCTCACTCCATTTATACCACCCATTTCCAGAAAGACATAACATGATTGAAAAATTCATTGAATACATGATTGAAAATTTAATTTGGGTTAATTCAAAAGTGGAGGGACATAGGTTTTGCTCACTCTACCTATGAACATCTCATTCAAGAATACATGATAGAATGGTTAATTAATAGCATGATTAGAATAATAGATAAATGAATAAGTATAGTTGAGAATGGGGGAGCGAATATTTGTCTCGACGTTTCGTGCTCAGAGGCGCTTCTTCTGGAGATGGAGAGAATCAATTTAGCAGGCTGACATGCGCGTATCCAAGACGGCCCCAACCGGGCAGTACACCAAAACAGAATCAAGTCACTGCACTGGTAAGGTAAGCCTGCAACGATCAGGAGTGGGGGGGAAGGGAACAGCAGCAGCAGCTGAGTGAGATGTGTCTAGGGCTGGCTGGGGGGATAGCAGCAGTTGAGGCTTGGTGTCGGGCCTGGGGCTTGGGGGACAGCACTGCAGCTTAGTTTATATGATAGAAAAAGGAAAGAAAAAAAGATGGGTTTTTTTGGCCACCTAATGACAAATCCAAAGCAATTTAGCAGTAAAAAAGTATTTTTAATCTTAGTAATATTTTAAAAGATTGATTCACATACATTACAAGTAATAAAAACAACCAGCTGATCAGATGTCTCCTTGTACGCTCACTCCATTTATACCACCCATTTCCAGAAAGACATAACATGATTGAAAAATTCATTGAATACATGATTGAAAATTTAATTTGGGTTAATTCAAAAGTGGAGGGACATAGGTTTTGCTCACTCTACCTATGAACATCTCATTCAAGAATACATGATAGAATGGTTAATTAATAGCATGATTAGAATAATAGATAAATGAATAAGTATAGTTGAGAATGGGGGAGCGAATATTTGTCTCGACGTTTCGTGCTCAGAGGCGCTTCTTCTGGAGATGGAGAGAATCAATTTAGCAGGCTGACATGCGCGTATCCAAGACGGCCCCAACCGGGCAGTACACCAAAAACAGATCTGACTGTGGTATCTTATGTGCACCCCCCTATATATTGTTCCTAGAGTCACCACTGTACATGCCTAAATGCATTACGTTGCTGCCATGTGATTGGCTGATTAATATTTGTGTTAATGAGTAGTCGAACAGGTGTACCTAATAATGCAGCCAGTGAGTGTACATCCAAGCAAATTAGACTTGCACATTTGGAGATATACGTGCCAAAACATTTTGCAAACGGTTCCACTACAGGGGTTATTTATTTAATGCTCTGTGAATATAATGCCTACCATACATGAAAAATGAAAGAGAACTATGTAGAATAATAAATCATCATATTTGTGACATCAAAGATGGCAATCTAGGTTCTCCGAAAGTATTTCTTTTTGGCTTAACATTATGGATACAATCCTTCTAAAGCTATGTTTATTGTCTTTGATCATATTTATATACCAAAAAAAGGGTGGAGATCTTGACAGATTATTATTACATTATTATTATTACAATCAGAATGTGTAAATATTAGGTATATTGATATCGGCCATGGAGTACTATAGCTATAGCTTTCCATTTTAATTAATAATTTAATCTTGGTAATTTGTTGTAATATTACTTATTAAGCATGTAGTCTGGAGATACATGTTGCAATAATTATGCAATTTGATGTATGTACTTATAGTTACATAATGAAATTGCTGATTCGGTGGACTTTTTGTGAGATTGGTGCACCACAGACTCCTTTTTTCACTTTTTGTTGCCTTATACAGAGTACATTCCCTGTTTTTGGTACATTCTGTGGCAGTGCTCTATTCCATTGAGGGATCAACATGTATTGTTGCCTGTTCTATTCCATCCTGTGCCAATGTTCTATCCCCTTAAGGGATAAATGTACTTTATTGGCATGGGGAGGAGTCGGGTTGAGCTAAAGTTTGGAGTGCATCTGATATCCCGCCTCATGCCTGTGGCCTCATCACGGTGCTGGATGTGATACTTGGTCATGGTGGAAGATAAGGGAAGATGAGTGGATGCTCGCCTCTCTCTCCCATTCCACACAGACACAGTGCCAGGAAGTCCTTTTCCCTTAGAGAAAGTTTCAGACTGAAGGACCCCTTTGAATTTTATGCATCAGATGTAAGTGCAGTCTTTCCAAATGTACTACGTTTGTTGCAGGGTTTCTTTTTTTTATATCCTATGGGTTCAAATACCTGTAGCTATTGGTATATTACTATAATGGAGTAATTATAGTAATGTATTCCTAAATGCACAGAATATTACTGGATATTGAGTTGTTATAGGTTGTTACAGGTATATTAAAGGAGAACTATGGGGTTAAGGCTTTTCCCCATAGTTCTCCTTAGGGTAACGGGAGGACACAAACTAGCGTCCTCCCGTCACCCTAGGCTCAGTATACCGCGAGCTGCAGCTCACGGTATACTGAGACGCCGCAGTATACCGCGAGCTGCTGCTCGCGGTATACTGAGATGTCAATGTTCCTTCTTGGTAGACACCTTCCT